AGCCTCGCAGCCCAGCCGGCTTCGGGACTGCAGAGCCTCTGGGGTCCTTGAGCCCAGCTGGCCGGCCTGACCCCCCCTCCCGCTGGGGGTCCCCGGGCCGGCTGGCCGGCCTGACGCCCCCTCCCGCTGGCGGTCCCCGGGCCGGCTGGCCGGCCTGACGCCCCCTCCCGTTGGGGGGGGCTCTCCCATCTGGACACCTCTCCCCTCCCTGCACTTCCCACGGAATTCTGGCCTGTGCCCCGTGTGTATGGGCTTCCTCTGGCTCCTTGCAGGACTCTGTTTGGGATTTCCTGTGGTTTGAAGGTGCGAGCCCGCTGGGGCTTCTGGGTGTTTACCCTCCTGTGTCTTCTGGGGTCCCTGGCCTGCGACTTTGTCCAGATCAGGCAAGTCTGCGGCCATTGCTCAGTTGTCTCCTACTCGTCCCCCTTTATCCTTCTCTGATGGCCGCTCACTTGCATATTACCGGAACCCCCACGGGCGCTTTGGGGCCCCATGTGGTCCTTAAGCATCTTCACCACTGCCCACACTGCCACCTGCCCACTGTCCACCCGCCCTGCCTGCTGGCCCTTTCCCACGGGCCTCTCGGAGGCTGGACCCTGCTGGCGGCCCTGAGGCTGCGGCTCGGTCTGGGGCCGGGTCTCCTCAGTGTCTTGGCGTCGGCGTCTCACGGCCTCCTGACCGTGCTGAGCTCGGGCTCCGCTGTCCAGCGGTGTGGGCTGGCTCCGGGTCTGCCTGTCTGCCTTCCTGCCATCACAGCCGTTTCCTCGGAGTCTTGCGCCTCGTCTCCCACGGTGCCTTCGGCTGCCCTCAGAGACCGCTGCCCGCTGCCCGCCGTGTCATTGCCGGGGCTTTGGCTCAGGCTGGACACGAGTCCGCTCTGCGCGCCTCAGGGCGGAGCCTGAGGCCCCCCTCCTTTGCAGAGCGGGCAGTTGGGGTCAGGTCGCTGAGCCAGGGCTGTGTCCTAGGGCCGCAGTCACTGAGGCCTCCAGGTGAGTCCGGCGGGGGCTGGACGGGCCTCTCCTGTCCAGGCAGACTCCGCTCCAAGGTGGGTGTGGTCTTCCGGAGCTGCGGGAAGGCCTGAGACCCCGAAGCAGGGGCGGGGCGGGGCGGGGCCAGGCCTGGGCGCGCTCCGACCTACGGGCGCCCTCCAGGTTGTGAACTGGGGCCCGCTCCGCCTGAACAGTCCCTTGCAGGCACCCCTGGGCAGCCGTGGCGCACTGGCCAGTCCTGTTGAGGCCGCCTGGGCACTGGCCCTGGACTGCACAGAAGCGGC